AGAGAGAGAGAGAGAGAGAGAGAGAGAGAGAGAGAGAGAGAGAGAGAGAGAGAGAGAGAGAGACTATAGTTAGTATCATATTGAGGCACATTGGTTGATGTTGGGGATTCAGTCATCCGTGATCCGTCATTATTATTGTTGGGGAGTTGCTGTTTAAGGAGACTTGAAATGAGGGGGACAACATTTTTCATTGAATGGCATTCTCTTGTTTTTGCCCCCGCTTCCTTTTGTCCTGGTGTCTGTACCAGGAAGGCTAATGCTGGTGAGGGCAGTTTATTTTGTCCGGCAGCTGACGCTCTTCCTTCATCGGCAGGAGAATATGAGAAAAAAGGGGTGGCGGGGGCGGCGGGGTTGACATCAGTACAAAAGTTAAGCAAAGGCGGTTTAAGAGCGTGTTCAGGATCACAAAGATAGGTATGGAGGATTTTCCACCTGTAAGGTGAGATAGAGTTGCCTAGGGCCAGTGTGCTCACGGCAGTAGGGATCTGAGAGGCTGAACGTGCACACTGGATGTTCTTACAGGTTCTGTTGAAACATAGGCATAGGTGATATACACGTCAATCAATGCTGGTGTGTGAGAGCTAGGTTGGTTATCGAGAAAGAGGGAAGCAAATGAAAGCTGACAGGGAGGTCGGTGAAAGGGCACACAAGTTAGCAACAGAGGAAATGAAGGAGGAGCTGGGAGCTGGTCTTCATTTGGGCCCGCAGTGACGAGGGACAGATGTAACCGGGCAAGAGAAGCTGAGATGGTTGGTGTTTACTTACTGACCACACACTTGCTGACTCCATTTTGAGGATAGTGGAAGGTATACGATCTTGAATGAGGGTTGTGTGTGCTTTGTCTGAGGCGACTGACTTTTCATGCTTGATGCAAAACCTGGGAAAATGGATGAAGGGGTTGGGGCGGATACCGGAACAGGTAGAAGGACACGTAAAACAGAAGGCCGAAGAAGTGAACGGCAGGCCAAGGATAACAACCCATCCTGCTTGATGCGAAAGTTTGAAAATTTGATAGGAGGGGGTGGATAGGGATATCTGAACAGGAGTGAGTGCCAGGCTAAGGAGACAGCAAGGTAGATGCAGCAGGGAATAAGAGAGCTGCAGCTTGATCGATGTGGGCAGCAGGGGTAGGAATGGATTGTCTCTGCCAACTGGCCTAGATCAGATGGTACACCCATGTACTATTGAAATACAGACCCGAGTTCGAATCTGGATGGAATCAGATGAACAGAAGTTACTCTGAGTTTACCTGGGGCCAATCAGTTCAAAAATGATATCTGAAGAGTGTTGCCTTCTAAAAAAACAGAATGGGTCCTCTCACCTGGATCATGCTGCAAAAAAATGACCAGGTGCGTACATCCGGGAGTGTACGTCTTTCTAGTGAAATTGCTATGGTCGGGACTCAGGTGTGATGCCATGTGCCTGATCGTATTCTGCTTGCGCTGGACGTCCATGCTTGGAAAGCAAGAACCAGGTCGTAATGGTAAGCAGGTTCTTTATTGAATATCTTAATTTTCTTGTCGTTTTGTATCCCTAGGTCCATTTCAGGTATATATGGCAGTTGCGTCGAACAGCTACATAGCCTTCCGTTTCATTTCTGGGCCGATATTCTCCGATGGTATAGCATGTGCAGGTGAGAAAATGTGACATTTTCCTACCGTCTTTTTTTTCCCCTTTTTTCTCCCTGATGGAGCTGTCCCCGCTCAACTTCTCAAGTAACGTTGTTACTTTCCTTCCTTTTCTGTTCTTTTTTGTGCATTTCGTAGTTATGGCGATGAAATGTATTGGCGGAATGTTAGCTACAGTGGTGAATGCAATGACAGACATGATGACGGGAATTTTATTTTACTGACAGAATGTTTGTTATAGCGGCAGGACGTGTTAACCTGCGTTACCAACCAGTCCGCCTGGTTCACCGTGGTTGCCCGGGCGGCCGAGCCGGGCAAAGGCCAGGGAAGGTCAGAAAATAAAATCCAAAAAATGTGGAAAAACTTCAAAAAAGTTAAAAAAATTATGTTGTGACAGTTGTGCAGAAAAATAAACTGAACAACTTTTGCCTCAGGGTCACATCGAAATTCTTTGCCATAAAAGGATTTCACGTTGCAAACATCCCGAGTCCAGGTCCCAGAGTCCCAGTTACTCCCAGTCCCAGAACGTCCTGGTCCCACTAGGACCCGGTAGGCCGAGTCCCAGGCTAGGGTCAGTAGGTCCGGTAGGCTGTAAATTGAAGCATCGCAGGTCAAGTTGGGCCGGTGCCGAAAAGTCAGGTGGTTAGAAGTCCAGTCTGGTACCCAACAAGAAAAGTCCAGTCCCAGGTCCAATTTTGCAGCAGCGTCCCCGGAAAGTCTGGAACATACCGGACCGACAAAAATCATGCACCAGACAGGCCGCGGGCGACCAGTACCGGTCTGAAGCATGCCAAGCAAGTCCAAGTACCTATTTATAGCTTTACAGTGCAGCGCTCCAGTCAGTTCTTCCATTGGGTAATTGCGGAAGCAGCCAGCTGTTGGCTGCTTGTGCAACAACGCGACTTTGGGCCTCCGCCTGGAGGATGAAGAAGGCGCCTTGGGAGACACCATGGCTAGAGTTGGAGTAGCTAGGGTGGTGGCCAAAGCTGCCGAAGTGGAAGAGAGTCTGAAACAGGTGTATTGAGGTTTACGATCTAGGTTAGCTGAGTGTGTGAGGCGGAGTGATACAAGCACACAAACACACACACACACACACACACACACACACACACACACACACACACACACACACACACACACACACACACTCACACACACCGAACACACTCACACTCACACACACCCACAGAGAGAGAGAGAGAGAGAGAGAAAGAGAGAGAGGCGGCGAGAGAAGAGCATGAGCACAACACAGAGAATCTTACCTTAGGGAACGGAGTTGGGTACTTACTGGTTGGAGAAGATTGGATGTGTGGAGCGACGATGTCCGCTGGTTACCTGAACTCTCAATTTGTACGATATGGTAATTCGTTGAAGTTGCTTAGTCCATTCTGATTCGGTGTTTCCATTCTCTGGTGTGGTGTGAATCTTCGCGCGAGTTTGCATGCTGTCTTTTTGCGAGTGGAGTGGAGAGTGGTTCATTGCAACCACATTTGAAGAAAATGTTATGCTTGGCTGGGCCAGAGCTCTCTCTCTCTCTCTCTCTCTCTCTCTCTCTCTCTCTCTCTCTCTCTCTCTCTCTCTCTCTCTCTCTCTCTCTCTCTCTCTCTCTCTCTCTCTCTCTCTCTCTCTGTGCTGTCTCTTATACACATCTAGATGTGTATAAGAGACAGGTGTGTGTGTGTGTGTGTGTGTGTGTGTGTGTGTGTGTGTGTAAAGGGCCATCCACTGTTTTGTTTTTCAAATCTGAGTTCATGGCTGTACTGCGCTTGCTGAGTACAACCCAAATCAGCTTAGAAACTTTTGGGGATGGGGGGTGTTGGGGGGCTGTATTGGGTTTTGCTGGGGTGTTGGGGGGGGACTACAGGGTTGTTGATGCGGTTATTTGGGGTACTGGACCCAAAAAAAAAAAGAAGATTGTGGGGTGCCGACCGACCCCCAGCCGGTGGGTGCCGACCAGTCCGACGGTCGGCTGGTCGGCCCCCGACCAATCCAGGGGCCATCGGGGTGACTACTCTGCCGGCAAGTGAATACAACCGTGCAACACGCCTCCCCACGTTACGGCCTGGGGTACCCTGACAGCATTGATTGGATCCTTTAACGATGGATTGACTGTCAGTTGAGCCCATACTATGATGCAAAACTCCTCGCTCTAGCATTGTACCCTCCCATGCTGATTACGGAACAGTGGCTGTCTGAGTACCTCCTCCCTTCTTCGAGGTTGGTATACTTTAGCTAGGAAAGCTTCAGCCCAGTGTTGAAATAGCTGGCCTCCAGTAATCCTGCTTGTCTTCTGACTGCTCCCCCTGGTAATATGGTCACTTCCCTTTCTTCCTACCTTAGCCCAGGACTTGCACATGAGCCAGAACAGCCCTGTCATGTCGGCTGGAGTCTTGTGCTTGCCCATTCCCCTGATTTTTTTGAGAGCTAAAGGCGCACCCATGGCAGGCGTTGGTTGGTGATCAGCTTCATTACCCACTTCATTTGCAGAGCATTGATCTGAAGTTTCGGGGCTATCACTTCAAGCCACCCCTTGGATCGTTTTCTTATTACCTATGAAGCGCTGCCTGGATGGATTTCCGATCCGCAGGTATGCTGCTGCTTTCCTTCGCAAGCTCGCTGCTGGTTGGGAGGTGGGACTCCACACCGTGGCTGCATACCAGAGCATGGAAGAAGATCGACGCGTTCAGAATCATCACCCTGCCATAGAAGATGTATATACTGTGGCCCAGGCCTCCATCTTGGTCAACATTCTGGCAAGGATTTCAGGAGCCATCGAACGGGAAGGCCCAGTCTCTGTCACCTTGATACCTAAAAATCTGAGCAGCTGCGACGGACGCAGCCATTGTATGCCTTTCGGGGTTTGTACTGGAGTGTGAATTGCTTCCGTGGGTTCGTCGTCAGCCACCTTCCCACTGTCTTAACCCAATTAATTTGCATCTCTGAGGCAATCTGGAAAGCTAGCATATCCCATGTCAGTGCTGTAAACGACAAATCTAAAGCCTGGATCAGGACCGTCAAGTCGTCTGCGAAGAGGATGGTAGTTGGAAAGTGAAAGATCCGGCATTGCCACCAACCTTTCAATCGGAGGATCCTTCCGAAGGAAGGAAGCTATTGCCTCGATTATGAACAGGAAAATGGGTGGACCTAGTGGGTCGCCCTGCCTAACTGATCTGGACATCTTCTTCTGTGCTGACAAACGGCCATTGGATTGGACCTGTCAGTGTGCATCGTTATACAGGACTCTCACCCATTTCCTGAAATTTACCCCTACTCCCATCCTTTCCATGCATTGTTGCAGGAAGCCCCAGCTTACTTGATCGTATGCCTTTTCAAAATCAAAGAACAGTATTGCCGCATTGATTCTTTTGTCGCTGATGTACCTTACGGACTGCGTGAGTTACACAGAAGTTATGCCGCAGCACTGAAGATTCAATCACTGGCTATTAGCAGTGCTGGCATTCTAAGTTGTCTGTTCTTGGCCCAATATCACAGAGCTTCCCTTTTGTAAAGGGAAAGAAAAGGAGGAAAACTGAGAGAAGTAGCATCATGGCAGCATGCAATAATGCTATGAAGCTTGGTGGAATATATGGACTGACACCTTTCGATTTGAGCATCGCCAGTGGCCGGCATGCGAACCAAGGGCTTGGGAATGCAGGACTGAAAGAAAGAAAAAGAACGCGAAAACTAAAAAGAGGCCTGTGAACGAAGTTAAACAAACAGGTTGGGAGGGTTAGCAGTGCCTTTGGTTGGCCGCCACGGCATGTTTCATCAATTGTTTGCTCTCTTTTTTTCGCTTTTGCATTCATTTTTTGAAGTTTTTTCGTCACTTGGTGTCGCTTGTGCAACAGGACTGCCCCTCCCAAAGCTCATCTCCTCTCTCAGCGCAGAACGTTGGAGGCCCTTGCACACTCTTTGACACAGACACTGTTTGTCTCGAGGTAGGGTTAACTATACTCTCTCATTCACCCTTTCCACCGCTCTCCCCCTCTCTCTTTTCCTCTATGTATATGCATATATATGAAGATATGTAAAGGCGAAAACTTCCAAAAAAGACTTTTATCAAGTTTTAATACTGTTTTATGGTTTCACCTTCTCTCTTTCGCCGCAGCTGTGGCAAGTTCCCTCATGGCCAACTCTCTTAGGGTTTGTGAGCTGAGTCGAATATCCTCCTTCCCCCTCCCTCCAATTTGGCCATCCATGTGAGTGATGTAAGTTATGTCAAAGACATTTGCAGAGATGCTTACGTTGGTTGTCTCATCACTGAGTCACAGCTGGCAAATTCAGAAAGTGGCGCAGTATGTAATGAACTTGAAATATGAAAGGGAAATAATTTCTGGATTTGTGTGATCGTAAACCCTGAGCTCTTAACTATAAAATTAGCATAAATGCATAGTAGCTCTGTTGAGCAGCCCTGTGTTCAAGGCCCGCTCTTCTCACACAAGGAATCAGTCGTTCAGATGGACTGATGATTCTGCCGGTTGGGGACCAATGAGAGTTGGGATATACCACTGGCATCCATGTCGGATGGGAACAGTGGTCCCAACTATAATCTCAACCACAACATAATTGCAGGCAATGATGGCAATACTAATTAACGATTGTCAGTTGATCCCCTGTCCCAGAGTAATCAGTTTTATTTTTATTTATTATTTTTTTTAAGGCAAAGAAACCCCATCTATTCTGAGGGTGTTGAGGGGCGGTTTAGGGGTGTTGGGGGGGTGTATGGGGGGGTGCTGGTGGGGTTATTGGGGGTTTCGACTCTTTTTTTTTTTTTTTTTTTCTGCGGGGKGCCGACCAGCAGGCCGGKKGGSYGGTATGGGGGTGCTGGTGGGGTAATTGGGGGTTTGGACTCTTCTTAATTTTTATTTTTTATTTTCTTTTTTGCGGGGTGCCGACGACTGCCGACCGGTAGGTGCCGACCAGCAGACCGGTCGGCTGGTCGGAAGCCGACCAATCAAGGGGCGCCGACCGTCAGCCTGTACAACTCTGTTCTGCACCATAAAACTTGGAAGTATCAGCACGGCAATGACAGCATATACGAAAAGTCTAGGGCGTCGCCGCACCACTGTCGAAAATACGATTTTCGACAGTTCCTCTTCGCCACACAGGCTGTCGAAGTCGGAGACGGGAAGAAAAGTTGCAAGTTGTCAGAGAATGCTTCTCGACACCTCCTGTCGAAAGTTGTTCAATCCCCAGCCTGCTACTCCGATGCTTTCGACACTCCTCGGCTGCACCGTCGACTTCGCTTCGAAATTTGGTGAGTAGGGGTAAGGTCGGGATTGACTGATGGTTGTCGTACCCTCAGGCGCATTCGTCTTTTTCCATCTTGCTTTCACAAGTGCATGCACTCTACAGTGCTGTGTGGCGAAGGGGGGGCAAACTGTCGAATGGAGGCTGTCGAATTTGTTCTGACAGCCGCCGAATTTTTTTGCCTTTCGACTGTGGTGTGGTGAGGCCCTAATTCTACACCATAGAACTTGAACTTCTTTTGAAGTATCAGCAGATTCAGCATGGTAATGACGGCATGTACGGTTCAAACTTCAAATGCTAGATGATGGACCTAGGCCAGTTTTTTTTTTTGTTTGTTTCGGCGAGGGAACTCAGCTGAGCTCGATCTGCAAGATGTTTTGAAACTATCAAGTTGCCGGTCCAACATCTGTCTTGACTCTTAAGTAGATCCTCAATGACTGTTCCCAGTCTTGTTACCAGCATGGTTATTTTTACTGCTACCGTCTTCACCCGAGTAGAACGCCTAGTCATTATAGCCGTATTTTTGGGGCAGCTTTCAGTCTAGATACAGTGGTAATGACAGCGCTTTCTATTCGGGTGAAGTCGGTAGTAGAGGAGGCCAATGTGGCCACCAGCAGGGTTGTTTTGGCGCCTACCGCCTACCCCTACCGCAGGCGGTAGGCGCGCCTACCAGTCCGGCTGACCCGTAGGCGGACCCGTCGGCGGTCGGCAGACTGCCTAAATTTTTTTATTTTTTTTTTCCGATGACATGGTCGTGTGCGGCTTGAGGAGGACAGCCCGAATCCGCAATAATTTTTTTGGGGGGTGGTGGGTTTATAGGGGGAGG